GCGGCTAGGGAAGGCTCACGGGGGGATTTGCAGTGCTGGAGGGGCAGCAGGCTGCTCCGCGGACGGCTCTCCCACCGAGGAGACCTGGGGAGCCCATGTGGGGTGGCTCCCATTTTGGAGAGGACACGCTTGCCTTGTCTTCTGATCATCTTCATTTTCGTTCCTCGGTCTTTTTCTTCAGGTAAGAGGAGCTTTTTAGCGTTTGGGAAGGTGATACTGGTGAAGGCTGGTAGTAAGAGTAGGAACCAAAGCACACATCTGCTAACTCAGCGGGGAAAGGGCTGCATCAGCAGGAGCCGTTTGCTTGGGGCAGCACCTCCTGGTCCTGCAGCACTGGGGAGGCTGCGGGAGGGAAACCGAGGCCACCCACAGCAGTCTTGCATGGCCTGGGACCACAGACTCTGCTCCCACCCTCCAAATCTCCAGCAGAAAGATGGTGGTGCTGGAAGCCTTATGCAAGTGGAGGGCTTCTTGCCAGCTCTGAGTCAATCTGCTTACAAGGGTTTTATCACCCTGGGTTTCTGGGGCTGGGAAGCCTCAGCAGGGTCAGGTAAGCTCCCCAGGCTTGCTGCTGAACACAGAGGAGGTGAGAAATTGTGACCAAGTGCCAAAAGAAGATGTTTCTGTAACAAACCGAGTGAGGGTAGCAGGGCCGGCTGTCTCATGCACATGGCATGCGGAAAGCCTTAAGGGTGGATGAAATCTCTGATGGCATTGTGTTTGCTGCCGTGTGGCTTTGTTGGAAGCAGCTGGCAGCCTCAGAGGCCGCTGCAAACGATGGTGAAGCTTGTTATACAAGGGCAAGGGGTGATGCTGAGAGCTGCCGACACCCCGGCCTTCTGCTGGCCACAGCTAAACTGACCAGTTTGAATACCCCCCTGACAGACTGTTAGAAAAATGAAACCCTAAATGGTCAGGAGGAGTGGGGAGAAAACAAGGGAGAGCAACAAGTGGTGTGGGACAACCCAGAAAATACTTGGTTTGTCAAGACAAGAGCTCTGCAAAAGGTAGAGCTCTCCCAGATACCTGCCCAGAATACAGGGCTGTTGACCAAAGGCAGCCTGCTAAAAAACAAGAAGAAGAAACCCTTTTCCACACTGCTCATTAGCCTGGGGGACTCGCCATGGAGCAGACAGTCACAGGGACAGGAGACTGATAGTGTTGAAAATGATCAGACATTTCTGGCAATACCAAAAAAATCTCAGACACTTTAAAGGCATCTGGAAAAGGCATAAACTGTTCTACTTCAGGGATGCAAAGCTACTGCTAATTAATGTGGATGAGGAAGAAGCATCCCACAGGGACGGTTACTCTGTAATTGCCCAGGATATGAGCTTTTGCAACTTCTTTTGCAAAGCTGTCCCAGCGAGAAAACGAGCGGAGGGGGTGGATCCCTGCCTGGAGTCAGCATGACAATTTTAAGCCCAGGGCTGCTGGCTCAGTAGTTTTTCTTTTCCGTGGTAAGCCCCATCCCCATCCCTTTTATTCAGTGTTTTGCCAAGCGCTTAGGAGCCCTGTGCTGTGTTAGCCTGAACACGCTGGTGCGTCCCACTCGCAGCAGGTCACATCACTCTTTCACCCTAACTGTGCCCCTTTCCACCAGCCTGTTTGTGCTGCCCTGGCCTCCCCGTGCTGCCGCCCACCAGTGTGCCCTCAGGGCTGTGGTGGCGGGTGCTGGGTGCTGGCAGAAGCACGCAGCAGCCATGCCCTGGCCTAGCTGCTACATGCCATGAATGCCTTCACCAGGGATGTAGCCGCTGTCCCTGTGCTCTGCCAGCACCTAGGAGCACCCAAAACCACCTTTGCCCAGGTGTGCATGGCAGAGGGCTCCGTCTGGTGCTCACCACCCTTGTACCTGAGTCCACAAGCCCAGAGGGGTGTTTACCCAAATGCCTCTGGTGCAGGTGCAGCTGGTAGTGTGGGAAGTCCGTGCTGCTGGGGACATCCAGGACCTAAACCATGTGAAATGTATTCCAGGCACAATGAATGCCTGGCTGGTAGGTGGGAGCTATGACAGCGTCCAGGGCGTTGCTGCTGTCATGTGACACTCAACAGCTTGCTCACGGGTTTTGCAGTTCCTGGAGGTTTCTGGCTGGTTCATTCCCTGGTGAAATAGATTTTGCAGGGGAGCAGGGATGCCTGGAAATCTGGGAAGAAAAATCTCTGTCCATGTGCATGGAGAGCTGCTGCATGAGATCCTGCCCACTGATGTTTCTTGCTCTTTCTCCAGCTCCGCACTACTAGCAGGCTGAACCATCAAACACCTGGGAATCCTGCTAGTCTGTCACTGGAAATGATCCCCAGCCAGCTGAGGGTCAGCTCTCCGGTGTGCAGGCAGAAAGAAGAGACGATGGATGGCAGGACTGGGTCTGAGCAGGACAGGCACCATGCCACTTCAGGGCATGGCCAGGGCCTGAAGTCGGAGCCCTGTTTCCAGACCAACTCTCTCTTGCCTTCCTCCAGTGCATCCCTGATATCACATCTCCTCAGCCACCCAATGACTGGCAGGAGCCTGGATTCCACCATCCTTTTCCCTTCCTCTCAGGCAGTGGCCCTGCCTCAGGACTACAAGTGTGATGCATCTCCTGGAGAAGGAGCACAAGCCCTGGCTTTTCCCAGGACCTGTGACCCGGCTCCCACACTCTGTGCTGGCGACAGTGACCAGCTCTCTGACCAGCACCTACGAGCCAAGCGGGCCAGGGTGGAGAGTATCATCCAAGGCATGAGCCTCCCACCAACCCCTCAGGCATTTGGCACCAGCCTGGAGGCAGCTTTTGGGCATAAGAGGGAAAGGGGCAGTGAGATGCCCCGGGAGACCAAGAGGAAGCCGAGGGTGCCCCAGCAGGGCACAGGGGTGGCTGGGCGAGTGGCCTCCACGGGGGGCAGCCCCCATGCCAAGGGCTGTCAGCAGCTGAAGGAGCAGCTCTGCTTTTTAGAGCAGCAGCTGAGGCAGCTTCAGGAGAAGTTCTCCCAGGTCTGTGACTCTGGGGATGCTGCCCAAACCCCAGAAGGTGCTGACAAAGTGCACCCACTGCCTGCAAAGCCTGGAGACAGATCGAACAAGGACGGTGTCACTGCCACCAGTGACCCGCACAAAGCTCCTCTCTGGAGGAATGTCCTGGAGGTGCATGGGCTGGAGGAGGATGAGGACAGAAGTGACACAAGCGGCCTGCCCTCAGCAGCAAGGGTCCTCTCGCAGGCACTGAAGCACGAGCTGGCTGGGGTGACGTCCCGGGTGGTGGATTCTGTCCTGAAGACCGTCTGGCCGAAGGCAGCCAGCCACCTCCTGCAGCAGCACTGCAGCCTACCAGTGCCAGGGCCAGATGCCAGGAGAGAGTATTTTGCTGCTGGGAAATGCAGAAAGCCACTCGCTAAGCCATCTCCCATGAATGCACAGGGCTCACCCCAGGCTGAAGCCTGGTCAGGAGCTTCGGGGAAAAGCCCAGGCTCTCTTGCTGGCTCCCTCAGTTCGAAGGGGGTCAGAAAACCCTCTCAGGTACCCAGCATGGGTTATTCACTGGGCTCGGCTGCCCCCATCCAGGACAGCCAGCTGCTAGGCCAGCTGCTGGGCTATGGCCAGCATGGCCTCTGGGGCAGCGGCTCTGGCGGGAGCCCCTCTGCTCTGGAGAGGGGTCCTCCGGAGCCCCTCGACTTGCACTGGGGAACCATCAAACTGAGGTCATCGGTCGTGAGACAGCAGCAGCCGTGTCCCCTGTCCCTGAGCCCTGCCGACATGGAGAGCCTGGCGCTGCTGCCAGCTGGCAGGGATGGCTGCGGGGAGCTGCAGGCTGCGATGGATGGGGCACCCTTTGCCTCCACCCATATATCCTTTGGGGGCAGCTGGAGAGGTCCCTGGGCTTGCATGTGTTCCCCTGGTCCTCCAGAGCCAAAGCTTGGGACAGACCCTGCTGGTTTCCCCAGGGCCAGGGTCTCTGCTGTTCCACAGGGGGCTAAAAAGGGGTGGGCAGGAAAGGGGTCCTGAGCCATGGGGGGGCACTGCTGCTCCCTCTAACAGGGTTTGTTAGATGCTGTAGTGTAGCTGGGGGTAGAAGCCAGGAGCTCCCAAGCTTGCTCTTAAGCCATCTTGGTGGTCCCATCATCCTATGCCAGGAACAGGTGTCTCATGGAAATCCCTTTTCCCACTGGCCTGGGAAGCACTGTGGGGAGCAGCAGCTTCCCTAGGGATGCCAAAGGGGAAAGCCAGTGGCTGCCCAGCCAGGGATGAACCCTCTCCACCCAGCTGGTGGCAGGCTGTGGGGAGGGGTCACTGTGAGCATCAGGCATGTGCGTGCCAAGGCCAGTGCTCAGGGATGCACCGAGATGGTCAGGCTGCTGCATGCAGGCTTTCCTTGACCCCAAGGCAGATGCAGGAGGCACTGACCCCCAGCCACCTGAAGAAGGCCAAGCTGATGTTTTTCTTCACCCGCTACCCCAGCTCTACTCTGCTGAAGACCTACTTCCTCGACGTGCAGGTAAAATGGCAGCACCCGGTTCTGGTGCCAGGCAGGGCTCCTGTGTGGCATGGCACCCACCTGCCTCACTGGGGAACCATGGGGAAGGGGATGCCCTCGTGTCTCCCTGCTGCACTGGCAGGAGATGGCACCCACTTCAGCACACGCTGCCCTGGAGCAGGTGCTGAGGGCCATGGCAGACCTGGGCTGCCAGGTCTTTGCTCTGTGCAATCAAGGCTTTGGGAATAAAGAATGTCAAGAACGTGCCTCCCCAGCGCAGGGCAGCTGGGATCCAAATCTCAGCAGGGAGAGGCACCGCGGACACCTCCATGTCTCAGTCCTGGCTTGTACCCCTGGGGCACAACTGGATTTGGGGCCAGGGCAGCAGTGCATGGCTGGGCTTGTGGGGGCTCGTGGGTCGGGAGGCTTGAAGCTGGTGTAATGCCTGTCCTCTGGCTCTCTCCGCCCCGGCAGTTCAGCCGCTGCATCACCTCCCAGCTCATCAAGTGGTTCAGCAACTTCCGTGAGTTTTACTACATCCAGGTGGAGAAGTTTGCCCGTCAGGCTCTGCTGGAGGGCGTTGTGGACGCTGGCACCCTCCGAGTCTCCCGAGACTCAGAGCTTTTCCGCACCCTCAACATGCACTATAACAAGGGGAATGACTTCGAGGTGAGGAGGGGGAGCTGGGGGGCAGGGGTGGCAGGGCGATAAGGCTTGCTGGGATGAGTGGGAGATGGGGACTGGGTGATGCCATGGGCTGATGCCTGTCTCACCGCAGGTGCCAGGGCGTTTCCTGGAGGTGGCCAGCCTGACGCTGCGGGAGTTCTTCAGTGCTGTCAGGGCAGGCAAGGATGTTGACCCCTCCTGGAAGAAACCCATTTACAAAATAATTTCCAAACTGGACAGTGACATCCCAGAAGGGTTCAAAGCTGCCGGCTGCTCCCAGGAACTGCTCCACAGCTGAGTCCCTGGGCAAGCAGCCCTGGGTCCTGTGTGCAGCCACCACGTGCTAAGCACCTCATGCTCTGTACAGTATCCATTATCCTGAGTATTTTCTCTCTGGCCTGTAACACAGTTCCTTGGGTGAGGTCTATCACTTGCCTCAGGTGCTGGGATTTTATGCTGTGTGTTTTATTCCTCTGCTCAAAACTGATGGGGTCCTGCCGGCGACCCTCGGAAGGGAGGGATGGAGATGAAGCCATCAGGTTGGAGCCTGGGAAATTGCCCTGCCCCAGCTCTCCTTGTGACCCTGGGTGATCCGCCTTCCTTCTCCTCTCCGGAGGGCTACAGATTGGGGCAAACAGCCTTTTTGTTTATAAAGCAGGCAGAGGTCCTAGCAGCGGGCAGAGTTTTCTTGGCACAGCAGACCAGTGGATGTACCCAGTCCAACAGCACACCTCGGTTTCTGTCCAGATACAACAGGCCAGTGTCCAAAGAAAACAGCTGGTGAATTCCAGCATTTTAAGCACCCCATGGGCATACCTGACCCTGTCTGGGAGATGTAAAACCAGGGTTTGTTGCAGCCACCCCGAACAGCACTCCCCCTTGCCTCCCCTGTGCTGTTTGGAAAGACCCCCCCGTGCAGCTGCGCACCGCAGCCAAGCAGGTGAGTGTGTGCTGGTGGAAGCAGCCCAGGACCGACTGCTCACCAGCAGTGTTACCTGTGATGCTGGAGGAGAGCAGGGTGCGCAGCTGGCACCGCTCAGCCCCGCAACCAGCCCCCATCAGCCCATCACCTGGGAGGAGAGTGCAATACCCACGTCCCCTTACACCATGCTTCTGCTGGCAAAATTGCCCCCAAACACTTCGGCTATGAAACCTGTCTATGGTGAAAGAGGAGTACATTACTGGGGACCTGTCAGTCCCTGTGGGTCTTGGCACAAGCTGGTGAGCAGCTGGGCCCTGAAGTCTGCAGCCCTCTTGCTGTAGGGGTGTAAACCCAGGGAGGTTTCTCTTCCTTGTGGCCAGGGCTCAGTGGCTGCTTTTCCACCTGATGGAGCATGGCGAAGTGTTTTGCGTTGAGGATGCTCTCACCCTGGCAGAGGCGGCAGTGGGGAGAGAAAGGCTGTGAAGAGGAGAGAGGTCCTGGGAGAGGCATGGCAGGAGGGCTCTGGGAGGGCAGTGATGTGTAACTGTGGATGAGCAACATCCCCGACATCCCGTGCAAACCGCCTGGGGAGAAGAGGTTTGGGAGGAGGCCAAGATGTTGGGTATGCTGCAAGGTGTCAGCTGGGTCCTAGAGCACAGCAAATGACATGGGAGAGGAAAATCATAGCTCGAGCATCACACAAGTGCACAGGGTGATCTGCAGGCAGTGCATCTGCAGGGGTAAGGAAGCATGTGGTAACATCAGGGCAGGATGGGGTCTCCAAAACGGGGGCAGTTTTACAGTGGTTCCCCCCATCATGAGTGTGGCTAGCCAGATTTCCTGCTTGTTTGTATGTTCATTTCTTGAGGTTTGTATATTTTACAACGCCAACACCAAATTTACTCAATCCATTTTAAAATAAATGCATAGTTTAAGTTATCCCTTTAAATCCCTAGAGACCTATTTGATAACTTCTCCTCTAAAGCATCAACCTGGGAATTTCTTGCCTTTTGTTGGGAAAAGAATAACACTGCAGCAAAAGGGCTTACTCCTTGTGTTGGCATCCCTGCGGGGCCGAGCAGCCCCCACTAACAAAGATGCTCATTTAAACCTGCACCCTCACCCCAGTGCCTTGGGGTCAGTCTGCTGCAAAGCGCAACTGGTCAGGAGAATCAGGAAGGGACGGCTGGTGGCAGACGGAGACACATCCCAAAGCTTATGGGTGCTGGACTCACATGTACAGCATCTGAGAAGTGTTGCTGGTGGCATCATGAAGGACAGGACAGTGTCGTTCCCACGGGCAATAACTACCTCTGAGCTTAAGTAATGCATTGGGTAGGTAACACCGACGCTGCTGGAAGAGGAAATGATGGCCTGGCTCAGGGGAGGCGTTACTGAATTCTGGCCAAACAACTCGGGGACATAAGATACAGGTTTACTGAAGACATTCTGCTGGAACAGAGCCCTTTTACACAGGGTCCCAGGGGGAGCAGTCTCTTGCTTCCTCTGCTAACATGAAAGTTCATGAGTGTCAGTAAAGCTGCAGGTGGGGCACTGAGGGTAAGGCAATGCCCCAAATCATAGAATCACAGACTGGCTGAGGTTGGAAGAGACCTCCAGAGGTCATCTGGCCCAACTCCCTGCTCAAGCAGGGCCACTAAGAACCAGTTGTCCAGGACCACATCCAGACAGCTTTTAAGTAGCTCCAAGGAGGGAGACTCCACAACCCGAGCATTAATCAAGATGTTGAACAGGATTGGACCCAGTGTTTGGAGCAGTATTTTTGCTCTAGTGTTTGCAATGTAATAGCAAGTAAGCGGGAACTACAGACCTGTGTTTTACACTGGCTTTTGTGAAACACGGACCAGCATGACCAAACAGCATCTCACATCGGTTACCTTTTACCTGGGATGAGGCCTTGCCTCTTGTATCCATGGGTTGAATTCTGCCCAGGCAACAGAAAATTGGAAAAAAAAAAAAAAAAGCAGGGCTAGAGAGACTCTGTGAAGGACACAAGACCAGAGGCGACTTGTATGACTGAGATCCTCCCTAGCAGCTTTTCAACGCCTGTCCACCTTCAGCCAAGTAGTGTCAGGGACGCAGAGGGAGCATCTACCCACCTTTTGGTCACCCCATGCTCCCTCTGCAAGCAGAGCTCTTGTCTGGGGACCCTGGGGTGCAGCTGCCTCCCCTGGGGGTGCTTGTCTGCTTGGAGCGGGGGGGGGAGGGTTGCACAGAGGCAGGCACAGCTCTGCTGTGTGATGCTGAAGTGGGGTGAGCTGAGTCACAGCCCCGGGCTCCTGTGAGAGCCTTGGAAAACAGCAGCCAGCTGTCAGAGAAGGAAGGGGGGGGACTCATGAGGCCTTCCCTCCACCTTGGTCATAGGAGCACTCATACGGAAAAGGCAGTACATCTGCTGGGACATGGGGAGAGCTGGGGTTACTCCAGGGGTGATGGAGCTTGAAGCATAAGGGAAATAGGGTGTGAAATCTTAAGAAATTAGGGTTTCACTAGCTGCGCTGTGCAGGGCATGGTGTGTAATTCCATTTACACTCTGGCAGTGCCCAAGATATAGCAGCTAGTTTTCAAAGAAAGACTAATGAGCGCCTCTCACAGTGAGATTTCTACTGACAAAGCATGTCTGCTTGGAGGACTGGGACGAGAAGGGAGAGCTGCTGCCCACACAGTGATTACGGTCATGACCCTCAGGCTTATGTGGGCACTTGCTTCAGCATTTTCTACTAATTGTCCGAGGAAGCAACAGGGCTAGCGCATTCACCTACCGCTGACTCAGTTTAATTTTTTAAAAAAACCCCACCTTTCCTTCCCTCTATCCAAATTTCTATGGTATATGCAAAAAGCCCACAGCCACCCATAGCTGTCTCCTCTGGGAACAATTCCTCCAGGCTATCCTTTTACATTTCCAACCACATTCATAACCCATCCACAGCAATGCACCCAGTCCACACAGCTAAACAGCAGCAAAGCCCGCTAAGCACTAAAAATCACTGTTTCCTGCCTCCAGGCTGCTGGGGTCCTGTAGCAGCCAAAAGAGGGAGATGTGACCACAGCCTAAGCTGGTGAGGCCCAGAGAGCCTTTACATACTTGTCTGTTATGACTCACTGTAAGAGCCCTTATTAGTCATGTACAGCTAATTAAAGCTTGAAAAAGTTCCTAGTGAATGTTCATCCCGTGTGCCAAAACAGCTTGGGGAGAAACACTGACAAGCAATAAAACATCTGTTTTTTCTTTACTCCTGCTAATGACTTGGACCTGTCTGCAGTGACTGAACCAGGCCTAGAGGTCTTCAGCTCAAGCAAATGTTCTTGAAAGATCTTCCCCCAAACAACACATCTTAGATGTGTATTTGGCATCAGGGCAGCACTCTCCAGGTAAGAATGTCCTGGTGAGCCAATGGCCTATGCTCATGAAATCTCAGCAACATATGCTGTCCCATTATATGCACTGGAAGGACAGATTAATCCAGGTTACAGTACAAATAGCACATTTAAGAGATCAGACATCACCTTTCAGCTGGAGAAGACACCCCTTCCTCTGCCTCTGGTGCGCAGGGCTGCCCTGTGCCACAAACCCAGCACCTCGCCAGGGAAAGCTGAGGTGATGCAGAGAGACTGTGGGGATCAGTCTCAAGGATAAAACACCCTGTGGGGTCCCCCAGCACAGACTGGTATCTCTAGCTGGTAGCAAAAGCTTTTCTTTTGCACACCATGAAATACATCAGCGTGAGCCATGGACCAGGGGATGGGAACTGGGGCGTGGGGCTGTGCCAGGTGCCAGCTTCACAGCAGCAGCCAGTTGAACTGCTCTCCTTTGACTTATGCAATGAAAAGCCCCATTTTGATGAGACAGTGGCAACAGAGTCACACAGACAGGTCAGCACTCTCTCTTCTGGGGCGCCCCAGCTCACCAGCCCACCTCCAGCAGCTCAGGTGCAAGCACTAAAGATTGGGGGCAGAGATGAGCAGGGTGGAGAAGGGAGATGTCTCACTGGGAGCTCTGCCCAGACATGGCAGCACTGGCCAGCACCTTGACAGGGAGGCCGTCGTCTGGCCCAGGGGCTTTCCAGGGAGACATTTACTCTGAGCAAGGGTGCACAAAGGAGCAAGAGGATAGTCAGCCTTTGCTGGAATCTAAGTGCAGACTCGCGTCCACTACCCAAAACCAGCAGGTTGGCTGGAGGTGATGCCTGTTTTGGAGGGTAGGTAGCTGGGGTGGGAGATGGGAGGCAGGCCGCCAGAGAACAGACACGTGTGTCCGTGCATAGATAAATACCAAACTAGTAAATCCATTTTTAAAAGGGAGCCTGATCTAGAATGTTTGAGAACAACTGTTCAAGTAAAGCCAGTGAGAGCTG